AAATAGTCGTTTTTACTTTATAAGTAGTGACTGTGCAAAATGCTTTATTTTGTTTACGTCTGTCTCTGAAACTGTATCGCTTTTGACGAGACTTTTACGACAGACAGCTGATGTTATAAGTGGTATAAGCTATTTTTATTTAAGAATTTGTATGAACTTCCGTTAAAATAAAATAAAAAAATTCTTATCTGCGTACGACAACATACAAAGGAATTGAAATCAATGTTTTCAAATATCAATTTGGTCAATGACTGCTAGTTGTTTAGTCTCTGAGATGTATATTCTCAATTTTCATTGTTATACGTGGTCTGTGGTTTGCCGCTGACTAACACGTCTATACTATTCTCATTGACCTAATATATACATATATATATTAATAAACTATAATGAAAGGATTCTTATAGAAAGTTTTAAATTATAAAATAATTAAATTGCTTAGATATCTTTAGTAATATCAACTTGTAATTTAACTTAATGGGTTTTGAATTAAATTATGATTCCCGAATATACTAAGCTGTTTATTCTATTGTTTAACATTTTTCATTACGTTCTGTGTCTTAACAACTAATCAAGATGTAAAGTAATTGAAACTGTTTTTGGCGGAAATCTTAGATATAGTTATTGGCTTTATTTTTGTGCCATTGTTGTAACAAAATCTATATACATATACGTATATAATTTTTAAATGCTACCTTATATTTTCTTTAATCAGAAACGTTATAATCCAATAAAGTTTCTAGAAACGTATAGTTCACAATTTTTTTAGATTTAAACTTTGAATCGTAAAATTTAAAATTTATTATACTCAAAATTTTATAGCAGTTTTTCTCATTATGGCCACTTTGGCTATATATAATACGGTAGAATTATAAAAATTTTATGATGAAAGTAAAATATGTTTGCATCTTAAGTAACATTTGATACGTTCAGATTTTATTCACTGTCATGTCAGGATAGCATTATATCAGTAAAAAAATACGTATCTCGCTATACACACTGAATAAAATTACTTTTATAATGAATTCATTGTATTAATAAGTGGATATAATAACGAATTTATGGCACGCGATGTAAAAAAAACTGTATAGTTCTATTGACACTAGGACTGGCTAATGCCAATATTGGTCAGTATTGGTGGTGATTGGTCAGCATTGGTCAGTCGTCATCTCTGGCAGGTCTGCCAGAGGCCAGTACGTCATGCGGTCATGACCCCGCAGGTTCAACGTACGACGCGGTCCCCATCACTGATCGTGCGATGCGTCAACCGTGTCTTTCGCGATGCTCACGTGTGAATCAACATACAAACATTATAATGTAAATTAAAATTAAATATAATGCTACTGTTTAAATGTCATACTATTATATAACGACCAAGTACATATATATATATATTTTAATTCATTACAATTTGATGAAATAATCCAATTTTGTTCCATATTAAGAAGTAAGTGATTATATTTAAATAACTCAGTATAAAAGTTTCGAGTGATATATTTGATATGTTGAAATTAATTTTAGTTATATATATCGTTCGTATATTTGTCAACAGCTTTAGGAGCACGTTTGAAAGTCTATAAATATAACGTTATTTGTACCGGCACGGTATTAAAGTGTTTGTTTACAATATTTGAACAGTCCGACCCGCAGTGAATTAACGCGGACTCTATAAAGTTTAATTATTTATAATACAAACTATGTGTGTGGTAAATAAATAAGTTTTTGGTATCTGTTTGTGGTGTGTATTAAAATAATGTCCTTCTATTCTTGTTTATTTGTTCTGATCAATATGTAAAATAGCTAGACTGATTTTGATAGTACTTTCATTGGATAGCTTATGATAAAGTGTAACGTAAATTTTTACTGACATATATATAAAAAAATAGTTATTCCGCACGGACAAAGTCGCAAGTGATAAGGCAAATAAATTTAAATAATGTTATTTTTTTTAATAAAATTAATATTGATTAAAGAGTTTAAAATCTTAAACGCTATAGTTTTGTTCCAGATTAAATATAATCTGTATGGTCATAAATATCTTTATTTCCGGCCTGTTAGCAACCGGCTCGCGTTACCAACCTGAAAAAACAAACCGCTGACAAGCGATTACACAAACATTGCGCGGTGAAATGATTACTACCTGCCAACTAACAAAACGTAAACATAGACTATGTTACATACATAGAAATGAGGTTTTATTAGTTATGTCTATATCTACATATATATATTATAATCGACTTACTAATGTTGACATTATTAAAGTAAATACGGATATATTGTAGTATTTTCATTCATAAATCTTATGTTTTATTAATTGATAGTTTCAACTTATTTACATATAAATAATATACTACAAATTACCTGTATATATTGACGATGCAAACTCGTGGTACGTAGAAATCAAATAGTATACATCGGAATAAAGGCCTATAGTCCCATTGTGTATTATTAATTATTATGCAACTTTGTTACATTTATCATAACTTGCTAATGATGGTGTGGGTTACCATATTTACAGTACCATACAATTCAACAATGCCTTCGTAGAACCAGTCTAGCGTTACTGGCTTTCGTATTTTTATTAAGTAATATGAAAAAAATAGAAATTTAATTCTACCTATAATTTAAATCTAATTTTTGTTTGATAATTTTATATAGGAAACTTTAATGAGCTTAATATATTTGGTACTTTCTATTCAAAACGATAATAACATAATACGAATACACAAAGTAGAAGTATAATAAAAGTATAATATATACTGTAATATTCGAACTGGCAACATAATAATACCAAGTACCAAGAGGTGGAGTCGGTAATGGCTTTTGCGGAAGCTAAACGTCCCGCCCCACTAAACTACATGCAGGTAATCCCTGAATGCGATATCAGCTTGAAAAGGACCAATGACATTCGACACGAGTGACGCTAGCTCTCTTTTGAAAATGGAACGCTTTTTTGTTTTTTTTTCTTTATTATTATTTACTTACAAGACAGTGTCATAGATTATAAATCTTATTTTTTTTTATGTTTTATGTATTAAGGATTGTGTGTGCAGATGTTTTGTTTTTTTTTAATTTAATGTTTTAAAATTTCAGGATGACTTATCTTTTAAATTTAGAATTCTTTTTTCGGTATTGATTTTTTTAAACCGACTGTTCTTTAACAATACATATATGTTTTTGTAGATTTGTATTGTTTCAAATTATCTGTCGAATTACATGAGCCATTGTTTTTTTAATTTTTGGTTATAATAATTGATATGAATATTGTAAATTTTTTCCAAAAAGTAATTTAATATATTTTTAACAATTTCGTAAGAAGCGTCTTTTCTAACAAGTAACAGTGTTTTCGTCAAATTTTATTTTGATCCACGTCTTATATTTTTTAATGTAGCAAATGCGTATAATTGTCAATTATTTGACATGGTTCTGCTGTTTATACATATAAACAATATTTACATTTTTTTTTTGTTACGATACGTCACTTAATAAAACTCGTTTTAGTATCAAGCTTATCTTCAATGCATTGTTGTTACGTTTCTTAAAACAAAAAGAACCTCAGTATAGTTACGCGAAATATTGTCAGAAGTAGAACATGACCTTGAAGGTAGAGACTTAATTTAATTCAATTTACTTTGAAACTTAATATTAATAAATTTCTCAAGTTCTTTAAATAATTAAAAAAAAAATAGTTTTTTATTGATAACTATTTATAATCTTTCTAAAGCAGTTCTAATTACGACTAATGTACATTATACAATACCAAATTTATCATTTGACTGCCATCAAACGGTAGGTATTTAAATTGAAGGTAAATGTGGTATATTTAAGGAATGGGAACAAAGCGTTATCACGGCTCTGGAACGTCGTTTATGTGCCGGGGGGTCGTTTTTGATGTAGAATAAAAGGTTCAACTTCCTGCATAAGAGACATTTTGGATGAAACTGGATAAAAATAAAAAGATACAAAAGTCCCAGTAAGTAATTCGCTTTTACCTTAATATAATATACAGTAATGTTTATGTATTTATATATATTTATGTATATATCTATGTATAATATCTGTATTTTATACTATTATAATTTGGTTTGTATTCTTATATATATACCTCTTTTTTTTCCTTCTCTCTTTTTATTGTACCTATGCCACATTTCTCTTCTCATTTCCTCTATCAAAAGAGTTTCTGGTGGAGATCTCTTTTGAGAGATAAGTTATCCTTGTACATCACATTTCTTTTATAATACTTTAATTGTAACTATTTTTTCTGTTTGGTACATTAATAAATAAATAAATAAAATAAAATAAATAATTCGAGGATAAGTTGATAGTACGTATTCGTCAAAGTATGTCTGTTTCTTTGTATGTAAAGTACGAAATTATTTATTACATCTGTACTACAAAGTGTTGAAGCCAACTAGGTCGGGTCGAGCCTCTTGTGTTTGTAAGAACAAAAAATATATACAACGTAGGGCTCGGCTTGTGCGAATCAAATCGTTACAGCCTTGGAAGGACGCGCACCGTCGAGCATGACGCCAACACTCGTTTATTTATCACTACATAATTATAATAGTATTGTTCCTAAACCTTCGAGAATTAAACGGGTCAAGAATGATTTAAATTTTAATATATTTTTATATGTATCAATTTATATTTACTTGATTCTAACCTCTATAAGCTACTATATAGGGTCTTGTTTGATATATCAATAATTTTCTTATGTATGTATATGACAATAATTTTAACATGTGTTATTTTTAAAATCATTATTTCTGAGATCCTTATATATTTATGAATTTCATATATTTTTTCCTATATAAAAGTTTTCGAGAAATAAAATTTTATTGATATGAACTGTATGTAGAAAGTCTTCTATCTATTTTTATATAGATATATCTATCTTCAATTACTATTTACATTATAATTTAACTAAAAAAAAGTAAACTAACTAACTAAAAAAAAGATTTAACTTAAATGACACATGGATGTCATTCCAGTAATAAAAATTCATGTCACCATTTAGTGTGTATTGTCTCAAGGAGAGTGTAATAAAAGGCTGTCGTGAATGGATTCTGAGACCGGATGTTAGTAAATGCAGCGACCGGAAACTCATCGCAAGACATCTCGGTCACTGGCTCGTGATAATATCGTTACGTACATACAGATCAAGGATTTAATTAACTTATATCACTGCCAAGGCTTGTATTATATACTTCTTAGACAAGATTACTTATAGAATAAATGGTCGCCAAATATTAAGGCTGTAAAAATATATGAGATATTTAAGACCTTCATGTATGATATGATTAATTATTTTAGTCTTTTCTTATCAGATAACGTAGCATTAAGATTATAACAGTTTTCCTCGTTATAAGTAAAAATGCTAAATATTATATAGACCATTATTTTTATGAAGTATTCGAGCGACCGTTACATTGAATCTCTCCTTGCTTTTATTATTTTCCTATCGCCATAATAAAAAACATCATGATTCATTGGCCATTAAATGTATTTTATCCCTGTACAATAAATTTTACTCAGATCATAATATTTTGCGGTTTCAACTGATGCGATGTTTTCATTAAATATAGTGTTTTTTGTGGGGAACTATAGTTATTAGTTAGTAGTGGTGGTAGAAATTCGAATTAACTATTAGTAATGTGAGATTTATTGTGAGAAATCTGTACGGCAGTTTTCCTCGTTGCTATTTTTATGTTGTTTTCGGCTGTTCTATCGGATTTGTGTTATTCTTTAATTTGTGGAATGTTTATCCTGTTTTGATTCTTTAGCAAAGATATAATGAAATCTCGTGGTTTTATTCGGGGACAGACTTATATAAATATCAGCAAAATTTATGTCATAACAAGGGAAATAATTTTGAAAGTGCCATAAAGGACGTATCATTTGTGTGTGATGTGAGTAAATAGAGCGTCAAATCGTATAGGCTGTTATATCCTGGCCCTTTTATAGATACTGGAGAGTGGAGACTTGGCCTTAATTAATACATAATTCATTACACGCTCCATTATATATGAAAGCCTCGCAACATACACTAGGTACAGGCTTTTGCATACAATGTCAATATTTATTATGAAAAATAAAAATTTCAATTCAATATTTTGATTAGTAAGTTACTTTATATCTCGTGTTGTTGTTTAAAGTGCCTAATGAAGGTTCAAATCGCATACCGAGTTTGTATTATACAATCATTTAATCTACGAAGGAGTCGTGTATCAGATGAAATCCAACTGTGCACAGCGGTCAATGACCCCGACCACACAGGGTGACGGACACCCTGTATATATATAACCAAACCTATATGACACTATACTTTGAGAATATATCTGCTATTTCTCTATATAAAACATTAAAATGCTTGCTAGTTTAAAACAGTACTTATTAAAAATATTCATTAGTATTTTAATTATAACATATCCCTTTTGTAAGGGGAAATTCGTAATTAGGGTTAATTATTTATGTTTTTAATGTTCAAAGATTCAAAGGAGATTTCGTTTCTGTGTTACGCTGACTGAAGGCTTGTACAATGCAAATCTGGCACCTAGAAATTTAATTTTTGTAATTAGTCTTTAATTTATTATTTCATGCATATTTTTTCCAAGGATTTTGTAATAACATAATAAAAATAAAGTTGCAGTTACAGTTTTAAATTCATACATTTAGATTTTTTGTTATTGTGAAGAATATTTTCTTTCCTATGACTTTCCTAGTCAGTCACTTTCCAGTGACTTTCATAGTTTTAACGTGTCATATCCAAGAGTGAAGATGTTTTAAATAGACACTAAATATCGTTTTAATATCATAATATGCGTCACTTTCACGTTTATTATCGTCGCGTCGTCTTATAGAAAATGTGCAATTATTTTCTAATAATTCAATGCAAGGATTCGATCCCGGTAATAAAGGTCCATTCACAAATAATATTTATTTAGAGACTGTCAAACTTACCACAATGATGACTATTTAAACTACATTTAATTACCGAAGCACTGTACGGAACCAAGACTGCTATCAACTAGATTGCCGGCAATCGATCGAATTGATGGCTTTGTATACATAAATCAATCTTGAGAGTAACAAGAGCATCTAACGATTAGGAAATATATTGTATATATTTAATCATTAATATTAAAAGTTTATAATATAAAAGATTTCAATCAAAATAATATCACCAAAGTCTATAAACTATTTATATTGTATGTAACAAATTAAGATGCAAATGAAAATAGGTGCTTTTAATTTTACCTGCATGCTTATCTAAGAAAGTTTTCGAAGAAATGGTTCAGTAAAACTATAAGTGTACTGCTTTATAACAGGTTACTACAAAATCTATTCTAAAGTTAATCCAGTTAATACGATTTGGTTTTCTGAAAGCGTACAACAAAATTATACTAAAGTTATTTTCTTTAAATATTACTATTATAAGATGGTCAGTGAGTGGTAAAAGCTATTTCATGCAGCAACAGTGTTCGGAAGTCACAACCACTCGTCTCAACTAAGGCAATTAGTGACATACGCCGCCGACACTCGTCTTACAAGAGAGTCTTTGACGCTAACGGTTTTATATTTTTAACTCGCTACAGTTTATTTTTTTCTTCATTGCTTTTGAACTGAAAGTATTTAAGATTCTGTTATTTTCAATGTATTTTTTGATTTAAATTTTGTTACATTATATTTTTAATATATCGATAGTTTAGAACCACTTAATAAGTACACTTTATACGTCAGTATAAATTTGAGGTTTTTTATTTTTTTTCGATTATGTTAAATAGAATTTTAACTTTCATATTCTATATAGGGGAGAGTTGGTTATATCGTACTATTTAAATCGTACCACTTCTAAATTTCCCATTTAATGAATATTTTTTTCTTCACTGACAACGCCAAATCGTGGCCCTGCACCATCCCTCTTAACCCACTAGTTTAAATCGACGTGAGTTAACAACTGTGCATGTAATAAAAGAAAAACATTTTTTGTAGGAATTAATATAAATATTGTCGTACATTCGTAAGGAGATAACTCGTAATTAAGGGTAAGCTAAAGTTATTCAGTTTTTTTATTATTCCACAATTGTATACTAGATTATTGGTGGTTTTTGTTGCATGTCTAAGTTTTGAGTTTATGCCGGATATTTGCTTTTGTTTTAGAAATGCCTTAGTTGGTTTAATCGTACCACTTGCAGTTGGCTAAATTGTACTGGTAGGTACGATTTACCCGACTACCAACCGCAAGTACCTATAGTACTACCGCAAGTACCTATAGTAAGTACTACCCAAGGCCAAAAACAAAAGTTATAAGAGGAAACGATTTCATTCCATCACCAGTAGCGATAATTCAGGAGAGACACTTGTTGTAGAACTAGATGATGATGATGACAGCGATAATTATCTTGAAAATATATGTCGAAAGTGCAATTGTTCTTACTACGATAAGAAGGGTCCAAAAGTTGATTGGATTCAATGCGTTCGCTGTAAACGGTGGCTACATGAGACATGTACTTCGAATCCAGACATTTGTCATGATTGTTTCCATTAATAAATATGCACAATAATTATATTACAAATAACATACTTGTTAACTGTTATTTTATTATTGTATGTAGTTTACTAATTTTTTGTGTCTCATTTTTATTAGTTATGTTGATTGATCTCATTATCATAGTATAACCATGTTATTTTACTGAGAAAGCTTATAGTTCCTTTATATAACCTAAGAGTTAAAAATTATGTTTCTATTACCTAAAAGATATAAATAATGTTGTTTTATTGCTTACTTAACAGTTAAAAATAAATAATTTGATTGAGAATTTTAATGTCTTTCATTCAGTGGTACGATTTAAACACCCATGGTACGATTTAAAGACTTAGTGGTACGATTAAAACGACTAGTCGGCTAAATCGTACCGATGGCAAGCCTCTATAAAAAAGCATTTTTAACAATGTTAGAATTATTGCAAGGATCTGTTCTCTTCTTCTTAGGAAGCTAAAATATGAAACTTTATTTAACATATGTATTAATTATTATAAGACGTGTTATAGTCGAAATATTTGAGTTAAAGTGAAAAGTGGTACGATATATCCGACTCTCCCCTAACTAATCAGTCATATGTTATTGTAATTCAATTACGAAACTTGAAACATCTGCAAGCTTAGTAGTTAGTACGAGCTTGCATCGTCACAATACATACAGAGCGTTAACAGTTCATCATTAATAAATCTTCCCACATTATAGTATTAACGGGAAACGTTTCGTATGTAGTGACGATGCAAACTTGTACTAAGGACACAGATTACAAAACTGAGATGCGTTTGTTCAGTATCAGTGTAATTTGAACATGAGACGATTCAGATTCGCAGCGTCGATACACAATTTGTCAATTAGGTCGTATCGGTTGGTAGTTCCCATCAGTATTTATATAGATGTTGAGCAATACATAATACAAGCCAGGCGGCGAGACTGATTGTATGACAATAGCATACTTTTAGAGTGATATATATGTATATATTGTAATCAATACAATACATATATCGCTGAATTTGTTTTCGTTGCTTTTCTAAGGGATTTTTGAATCGTTTTGAAAAATTCTTTGAATCTCAGTTATACCTAAAACAGCTTCATAATGATCTTAGACTTTATAAATATTTAAAACTTATCCTCAAACGAAGCCGCTTTCAAAGCGAAATTTTTTATACTAAGACTCGTCTGTAGATGAATAAAAAGAAATGATAATTTAAGTGACAACGAATAAATTAAACGAAAACATTAATTTTTGTACAATTTTAGTTCAAGTGTAACATTTGTAAGAATGTTAATATTAATAATAAAATATGTTTTCTTTTAAAATAGAGGTTAATTTTGTTTATATAAAATATATTACAAACTTTATATCTTAGATCTAATATAATACGAATTATTTTGTCTTATCATACAGTGGGATACGTTTTAATAAAAATGTCGATTCCTAAGTAATGAAATGTTTACTTTAAATTTGATTTCCTTTTGTATGAATAAATATCTTTATCATTTTTATTTTTAAGTAAAAAATATTGACTGATTTATATTTAA